ACGTGCATATGATAAGAGAGAAAGAGTTCAATTATTATTTTTTAAACTGAGTAGAAAAAGAAGAAAAGAATAATATTGGTGAAACAGATTTTTGTACGAGATTTGAGATTTATCGATGGTATTATCTCAATATTTAAATATGTTATGTGGAAAAAAAATTAAACACAAAAATAATCATTGCCGTTATAATCATCAACGAATACGACGACAACAACAACAACAGCAAGTGAATACTAATCATAACAGTTGTAACACACAACGTACACTATCGATCATCAATAAAGCTATTGTTACTAATTTACCCAAAAAATCAAAATATAATAAAACTTTTATAACTGCAAGTTCCAATCTTATACCATTAGGTAAGATAAATTTGTTCAAAATTTCTTAAATTCATAAATAGTAGAACATTTCTTCTTACTTTTATACACTTTATCAAAATTGATTCTCATTTAATTCTTAGTTTCAAATTTATCGTTGAAAAATTTGTGTTTTAACATTGTATTATACATATTACAACAGGTTATAAAACTTTAAAAGTAGTTGAACAAAACTCTTTAAATTTCATTAATGAGTAACCTAAATGTTTTTTAAGTAATAACAGAGAATTGAAAATCGTTCCATTACGCTTTATATAAGAAGAATGTTTGGACAAGAATGCTAATAGGCTCTATGAATCTTTTATATCGATGTGGAAAGAAAGGATACTAATATTATTAATATTTGATCTAATAAGAACATGTGATTGGAGGATACGAACGACTTGTGTGTGTTAATCAGTAATGATTGTGAGGATCATCCGTTAGATGAAATGTGCAATTCCTGCGCCTGCAATCACTCTTTTGTTTAAAATCTGACGTGCTTTACACGAAATCTTTTTGCTGACACAGTGTATGAATTACCACGTTTTAGTAAATAGTCGAGGGCTGTTGTGGTCGAATCTGCACATTTCCCTTGTTTTCTTTCACATTTTCTCTCAGCAAATATCATGATTCGCTATTCTCATTTTTATCGTTATAGAACGATAGAACTTTTGTTAATTTCTTTCGATTGAAATCTCAGCAATGTTGGGTCTATAAACTTTGAAAGTTGGATAAATTTTCAAAAATTTTTCTACACGCTATAAATGTTCTGATGTTCAAACGCGAGGACTATAGAGCCCTGTAGAAAAGAGATTTTATTGATGGAATTCATCGAAAAGCGTGAAGAAGAATACTTAAATCATGTACTTGATAATGGCGTTTTTATTCATTGAAGATTGTTTGTTGATTTGTTGTCTAACCTGGATGTTCTTATGTGTACCATAAAACCTCATTATACTTTCAATTATTTTTTTGACGATTTTAAACCATTTGCAAGTAGCAAAAAATTGAGACAATAGTATCTTGTTTAATCTTTTGGTTGCGGGTTTTTGTCTTTTAGATGAATCTTTTTTTTTCGTTCTAAAACGGTGTGAAACAACTTTTATTAGTATATAGTATATTTCATTTAGAAGTGTTTTAAAGTATGATAATCTTCAAAACAACCTATCACACTGATAACATGTATCGGCACCCTTTTTCTCGCGTCTGCTTGTATGAATACAAACTATACAAGTTCTTCGTACAATTTTTCCTGTTGCTGTTGCTGGAACTAGAGATGAAAATGACGTGCAGTAAGACGTATGAGATTATCTCCGATAATCGGACGACCAATTGGATGTTTGGGTTGAGCATAACTTGCAATCAGTTATCAAATCAATTCACTTTGAAAATCGCCAAATCGAATAGTTTTTTTTTATACTTTACTTTGAATAGCATTAGAACGGGGTAGAATGTGAGAAACAGGCATTGTAGAACGCAAGAGAGAGCACATATACACAGAGAAATGCGGGAAGATGACGCAATAATGTTACCAAGATAAGAGAAAAGGACAGGAGTCCTTTCGATCGAGTCCAAATAATATTATAAGGACGGCAATATCTGCAAAAGTTCAACACGCATATATGCGTGATCCGTAACCAAAGGGTTAATCGGGCCTCTACGTTGGTTAATCTTTCTCAGATTCTTACTTTTTTTTACTAATTTTTTGTTCTACTTCAAAGAAACTTTGCATTTCACTCACTAAGTAATTTGATGTGATGCCCAAGGGAAATATTTTTGCGAAAGAATAATATCGATACAACGATAAGATCATATGACTGTAATGCGTAGTATGAATCATGACGATAATGAATAATCTCTAATACGTTGTTGTTGACACTCATTGTGGATAAGTTGAATGTAATGTTACTGTAGTGACTATGTCTGATTGTGTTGTCTATAACGAAGTTTTTAAAGTATACTCATAAATTCAATTTTTTTCTTTGCCCAATTGAGTTTTAACATGCGTCTTAAATTTCATAAAACCATTTTATTTTCAAAAGTGATATTTTTCTAGACGACTAAATTTCCTATGACTTGCCTCTTACTCAACAAATGCTCAGTTCCAAATACGTTTACTCTGTTTATTATAGGAAATGTTAGTGACGCCGTCGATTCTGAAATCGATATTTTAGCTTGTTGTTAACGATCCAATTTTCCTCGTAATGTGTTGTTCAGCTTCAAACCAGTGAACTTCTTTACTTTTATATCGCAAAATGCAGTCTAATTGTCTCATGTACTTGCTTCACCGTCAAATAACTAGGACTATAGAGACGGGATATATTCGATTTATTCAATTTAACTGCCAAATGTCGGAACTATAGTATGATATTTTATGTCAATTTTCTATCGTTTCAAGATAGTAACAGAATGGCGATATATTTTTACGTAGTATAGTTGATAGCAACATGTTTATTATTTTCTATGTGAAAGTCTAATATTTACTTACGATTGTTATTACTGTTCTGCAGATTATTTGACACTAACTTACAGTATCACTTTTTGTTACTTTCTGCTGTATAATACTTGAAAAATATTCGAGATGTAATGAATGACACTTGGTCTATAAAAATTAATAAGATAAATCTATTTTTGTTTTAATTTAATTGTAAATGATATCAAAAGCGTTTGTATTGGGTGTATAACATTTAACATAGAAAAAAAAACAATATCAAATATAAATTAGAGAAATATTGCTAAAGCATTCGTTTGTACTATTGAATTTATTTTTTCGTTCTTCTGTTCTACTTGTTGCATCAAAATTCTCTGTTATTCGTTAACAAATTTTGAAATTGTTTTATACATATTTAAGATGACAGAGTACTGTTAACTAAACTTATCATCGAGATATATCGTTTGTTCAATAGACAGTATGTCAAATATTAAAATTGAGAAAAAAATAAAGCAAATGAAGAAAGCGTTTTGAGTATAAACCTAATTCATTTCTTATTCATTAAACCAATTATCAACATATTGAAAACGGAGTTAATTTCTCTAAAAAGTGATTTTTTTCGTCAAAGGTATACATCTGTATTTATCAAACGTCATTCTTTTCATTAAATATGTAATAATTGAAAAAAATCAATTTTCCTTGGCACAGCATCTGATATCAATTGTTATTGAACCCTATAGTATTATTATACTTTTCCTGAATATGATGTAAATGGAGCTCATTTCTGCATTGGTTATATTTTCATTATACAAGTGTACTTGTTCCCTATACTTCTTATCATATAAAATGTTTTTTCTCTTGTCCTTTTTATCCAAGAAATAGTAGTGATATTCTATTATTATCCTATGTCAAGTATTCTAGATAGAATAGCAAACTTATTTAGTAAATCATAGTAAATGTCATTTTGTTCGTTAATTATATACGAGTTAAATGTCTCTCTCTCACTCTATCTACGAAAATTAGTGACTTGGAACAATAAAACATGCAGAACAAAACAATAGTTACACTTGTGGCGTTTTTGTTCACTCACAATCATCAAAGACAGCTGAAAAATAGAAAATTTTTTCCTTTTTTCTTCTTCAATCTCTTCTGTATGAAACTATATGTACAACATATATTTGAACTATATAACAAAGTAATAATGAAAAAAATATGAACACGAGAAGAAGAAATTCCATTTTGCGAGAAGTGTTTAAAAAAAAAGTAGATTTATATTTTGTACAGTTTTAAAGGGAAGAAGAAAACAAAAGAAAGAAAAAAAAAAAAAGAAAGAAATTCATCAACACTTGATATCGAAAGATTGAGGAAGAGAAGTTTCTCTTACTTATAGAGTCTACTGTGATAATTTCAAATTTTGATTGTTTCTTCTGTACTTCTACTGCCTCTTTTTCTCGTTTGGCTTTTTTGTTTCGATGAATACCTTTTTATACACAATCCCAATTTTGTTCAATATTTACAATATTTATACACATTATGCATCTATACGAGTCTTAGAAAATAGTGAAATATTTTTTTTCAAACCATTTCAGTAAGAATTAGAAATCATTTGATATACTAGCATACATAGTAAGCTAATATAGATTTTTCTTTAAATCTCTTACTTTGGATAATATATACGGAAAAAATACTTATAAAAACGTTTGGAATATTTGGAAAATCATCTACTTCTTTCCTCGCAATATTTCTGTTGAAGATGTTTATGAGTTTTTCAAACTTCAAAGTTTGTATTTAATTGAGTTTTCGGTTGAAATTTATTTTTCCTTCAAAGCGACGATCTTTTTGTTGTTGTTCTTTGCCCTCTAAAACATCGGATAATGTAAAATTAACAGGAATATGTTTTTAGTGAAATACTGCGTAAGTTTATTCGATTTTATTTTCTCGTTATTGTATTATCTCTCTAAACGAACGTATCAAGGTATACAGTCAACTTGTTTCCTTCTCTACTATTGAAGGTGCTGTTAAAAACACTTCTTTTTTTTATTTGAACAATAATATGACAGGAAAATATTACAATTTATATCTATTCATTCATTTTATTTCTTTTTCTCTTTCTTCTCTTTTGCGCAATATTCTATAACAATTTTTCCTTCTTCTTTTAATGATCATCAGTAGGGGCAAACCCTATAATTATTTTGTTACTATAAATAATGACAAAAAATGTTTCTAATTCTATTCATCAATTAAAGAAAGTAGCAACTTTATGTAAATGGTCAGCAAGTCCGGTTGCAATCAGAGGTGAGTATGAAACTCAATACCTTATGATAATAATGTTAAAATAATATGTTTGTAACATCCCACTTAATCAATAATCGACAGTTTGTTGATTATTTGAAATAACGATATTTTAAGAACATTTATATTTTTTTTTTTCTATTTTGTTAATAAAACGTTTTATATTTAAAAAAACACGATTTATAGTTCAAAGAAAAATTAATATCTTTATAACTTAGTGTACTACTCATCATATTTCAGTTTTCTCATATTTTACATTCTTTTACTTTGTTTCTTTATTATACGATTTGTTGTTAGAAATTAATTGCAACATATACTGTAAAGATATTACAACACAGAATGCTTTTGGCCCACTTTTCTGTAAAATGTTTGATCTACACTTATTTAATTTACAGTCATTTATTACACCATTACCACATTTAACCAATAGTTGTAGAATAAAACGACAGACAATTATGACAATAGTTCTTCCGGCTGTTTTTCATCATCATGATTTATTCCATTTAGAGTCTATAAGAGTATGTGACCTAACTCCAATTTTGATACACTGTTTTGTACATAAACACACAAGTGTCTTATTGTTAGAACAAGACGTCTCTCTTTCTCTTTAGTACATAGATATTTTTTAAGTAAAAAGAGAGGAAGAAGGAGACAGTGCATTTGTTTGTCTTTTTTTTCTCTCTTATGTATGCGTTTTGTTATTTAAAATGAAATTTAAGCTCATTTACAATAAATAATGTCTATCCATAACATGAATAAATTGTATAAAACGAAAAAGAAACACGAAAATGTATATTATAAATTTGTTAAAAACCGGTTACCTAGATTGACACGTAAAAAAAATATGTCGAAACGGGATAAAACGAGAGCATCCAAGATTAATCATTTTTAACCTGAACTAATTTTTCTAACGTTTTTAAAGGACAATAACCCTTACATTGTAAGCACATGCTCGAAGAACAAAGACAATGTTCTATGAGTTTTAACAGTTATAATTAGTTTACAGTTGCAAAAATCATCAGAAAAGGACTAGCTTTCTTAAATTCATTGTTGAAACTGATGTATGACAAAAAAGCTAGAATATTATTAACGGTGGGTGTCGTGTCTTTTTCTAACTGTTAATATATTGTCCTTTTTTTGTCAAACGAACTCCCATGATAAACTGAGTAGAAATTTTCATTATTGTCTTGATCCTATGCAATACTCATACTATTAAAGTTATTTTATCGAAGATTATTATACGCATTGTTTCGAAACTAATTGAATTAGTAAATAAATACCGTCATCAAATAGAGAAAAACGAGTGTACGGATAAGTCTAATCATTAGACATATCTCTTGTTCTGTAAATAAGTCTAGGTATTTGACTTACATGAAAAAGACTGTATCTTAATGTTCTTGAAAAAAATGTCTGACTGAAATATAAAATAAATCGTGACACCTGCTATGCTCTCAAAACAGCAAATTTGTAAAGACAGATATCAGAATATGAATAAGTATATTCATGTTCCCATCTTTGCAATCAATAGTAATAAGTGCTCATAGAATATCAAAGACAGTCTTTTAGCCGTAAACTATAAATATCTTTTTCTTTCAGCTGCCAAAAGTCGAACAACAATCGAATTAACAAAAAAAGAGGGTAGTCCACTTGGTCTAACGATATCCGGTATGAAATCTATTAAAGATTTTCTTATGTTTTTTTGTTATAATCTAACTTCTTTTAGGTGGTGTTGATAAAGAGGGTAAACCACGTGTAGCTCAACTCAAACATGGCAGTGTTGCTCAAAAGTAAGAAATGTAGTATTTAGGAATAAATAAAGGCTAATTTGTTCTCGCGTCTATTTGTTGAGGTGTGATGTTCTGGAAATTGGTGATGTAATTTTAAGTGTAAATGGTATTAAAACAGCCGGTTTAAAACATGATCAAGTTATTGAATTAATTAAACAAGTTGGCGATCAATTAACGTTAGAAATTGAATATGATCTACCATTATGGCGTATGTATCGGTCTTAGATTAATAGTTTTCTTTCTATCTCCCATGAGAATCGATCGATCAACAGTATATACAATTTTCTACTTGTTAATGGTCCGATAAAAGAGATGAGCACATAGAATCATTTGTCATTTGTTAAACAAAGAATAGTGTAGTACTGATGTCGATGGATAACGATCTGTTCGACATTGAAAGTAGTATTGTGTTCTATGTTTGTATAAGTGATGTTTTTACCTTATTATTATTTAGCCATTCATTCTGTCAATACTGTTCATACAAAAACAATTCAAATTCAGCTTGAAAAAGAGGGACACAGTTATGGTTTTACTTTAAGAGGTGGCCTCTGTGATGATAAATGCAAAACAAGGCCGCTGATTGTGACAAAAATACGACCAAGTGGACCAGCAGACAGGTACGTATCATACGATTCTCATTCTTAAGGATTGTTAACATTTTACGTTGATATAGAGGGCTGTCTAATTAAGATTAAGAATCTTAACGTAAAAATCGTGCGAGTGTATAGTATAGTTAAAGAACTATAAAAGTATATTTTACAAGCATCACTTTTATAATTTTAGAACGTTAGAGGTTTGGAACTACAGAATGAGCACACCTTTTAGCTAACAGAATGCATGATCCGTTTTCAACCCACAGTGGTCTATTATATTTTCATTCGTCATTGCCATACTTTGTACTGATGGAAATAAAAAAACAACAACATGGCATGTCGAATATTTGCTGGCAATCAAAAGCATGGCTAAAATAATACATGAATATTCTGTCATCTTACACAGGCCAACGTTCAACAGTTTTTCCCATTTATTTCTGTTTCATCTATCAAACTGTGATCGAACAAGTATTGCTGACATGCGAATATTATTTGCTTGCAAGCAAATAATATTTGCTACACATTTTATTCTCATTTTCTCCTTTACGTTGGTTCAGATTATACCTGACAGGAAGACAAAAGAAGTTAAATTTATTTAGACTTCTACACCTCTAAAGTTCTAAAATTCTTTGATCAAGAAGGCATCATTTTACATTAAGATTCTTAACCTTACTTAGACATGTCTGTTGATACAAGACAGAAAAGTTTTTAATTATGAGTTTGCTGATCGCATGGCATATCAAGCATTAATTTCGAGCTATAATAATATCTGTTATAGAGAAGGAACAATTAAAATTGGTGATCGTGTACTTGCCATCAATGGAATTAGTGTTGCATCAGCAACATTACAAGATGCTCATAATTTAATGAAACAATGTAGAGGAACAACATTATTTTTAATTGAATATGATGTCGCTGTTGTAGGTAATATTGATTATTAATTATCATCACTACTTAAATCTATATAAACATCTTATTTGTCATTTAGATAGTGTTAAACATGCCACTGGTCCACTATTGATCGAAATAGAAAAATCACCCGGTTCAACAATTGGAATTAGTTTAGCACAAAAATGGGTTCGTGGTCGATCGATTATTGTTGTCGATACTGTTAAACCAGCTAGTATTGCAGATCGGTTCGTGTGATTAAACGCTCAATCATTTATTCTAAAACAGTATCTTTATTCATATTTATATAGGTGTGGTGCATTGAGATGTGGTGATCATATAAATGCTATTGATCAAAAATCATTTGATAACGTAACAATAAATGATGCTAACAATGTTCTACGATCATGCACCGGAGAATTTTGCCGGATTGAACTAACACCGTCCAGTTTCACACGATCACCAGATCCACTACATAGAGGTAACATAAAAGTAGAATTTATTCATTGTTCAAGAAATATGCTCTGTTTCTATGTAGTATCAATAAATGACAATACCACATTTCAACGTGCACCATCTTCAAATTCCATGGGTAACTGGACAATGCGAAATAGTTTTCAAAATATTGCGAGAAAATCAACAAAAGCGAGACATAATTCAATAAGTAAGTATTTAATAACTCAATAGTGTGCTATCTATGAATATCCACCTACCTCGACTGTCACCAGTTACTCAGCAAACTACTTAAAAAAACTTTTATCTAAAAGTCTTGTGCAGACTGGAATTAGTTTGAATTCTACTACAACAGATTTCTATTTTGAAGAAAGACTACCGCTCCACGATTTAAAATGGTTAAACAATATATACTACATTCACACTACAGTTATGATTCATCTAATCACGATTAATCTCCAGTAGACCGAGAAATTAATCGCGCTTAACTTTATGCATGTTTAAGACATGATTAGCATTAATCTTGATTGAGTGTAGTGACGCGCTAATCGTAATTAAGTACATGCACACCTGACAAATTCTCATCATCGTCAAATTTTTGAACATTAGTTTAAAAGAACTGCTTTTTTGTCGATTTTGGTTAGACTAATCAATATTGGGAAAAAACGAATGACATACCTGGAAAAACGATGTTTTCGATTTTTATGTTTTAGTAGCAACAACTAACTATTACTCTGTGTTTCAATAACGTTCGTAGAATCGTCCCTTTTACGTTATATCCTTATCTCGCGTTTAAAAATAGTTACACTGCGTTGTCACTATTATCTAAACCCGTTTATTTATCTCTACGCGTGCCTGCATCCTTAGATGATGACTGTTAACTGCCTATGTTGAAATAACAAAATGTTAATTTAAGATTTAAGTGCCATCAGATGACATCCTAAATTACACATTCCTACCATCAGGATCTATTGGATTTGTGTCGGAATTCAACAAAAGTTCGATCTAATATAAACTGTTACTTTATTGTACGATTGTATCTGATGGATCCTATCCTATCATTATACTATATTGCTACTATACCATTTGTTTCTCAAATTCTGATGTAAATTAACTCCGAGTTGAATTATAGAATAAATGAATGATTTCGATCCGGTCAGATTCGATGAGATTTTATTGGAACATCTTTCTTAAAATTCGATTAATGGACCCTGTTATATCTAACCAGATCTGATACCTCGAATAGTCGGACTAGAATGAATCTAACCTGATTCAGCAATCAGATTCCGGTGAAATCCACTGCAACTCTGTCAGATTTGGTAGGGCATATTTGACATAGGAAAATCAGCGTTTATCCATAAGTATCATAAGTATATTTTTTGAAAAGTACTTACACGTACAAGTTCATTTTGACTCTTGTTTGAACACTATGTCTTGAGCAATGAAGTTGAGATTAAAAGATTAGATGTAACTTTTTATTCTGACAACAGCCATTTCCAAGATGTCAAAGTATTAAACTTATAGAAAGTACAGACAAATGTTGCTTTACATTACTTTTATCTATTAAACATATCTCATCTCACAATAATATAATTAAACAAAAAGTAGATTGTGCTTTTGGTTTGTTTAAGGCTCGTTGAATTCTTGTTATCAATCTATTATTGGCAATCAAGTGTGTCATGCAGAAACAATGGATGTTTTATTGAGAATTGATGAAAATGGTGGTAGTAATTTTGGTTTTACGCTGCAAGGAGCATCGTTTACTTCGGACACATTAATGCAGCCACCTGTGATCGGATATTTAGAACCGAACGGAGTTGCTGAAAAGTATACTTACCACTTTAAAAATAATTACCTTGATCTTGATTGATCGATATTATAATCTAGATCCGGTGTACTGCAACCGGGTGATCGTGTTCTCGTTGTGAATGGTCAACAACTGGAAGGTTTAACATTAGAAGATGCTAGACGAGTTATCAAAGAGACAAATCAACAAATTCATTTAGAAATTGAATTCGACGTTGCTGGTAAATGAGAGACATAGTATGAAGAAATGAGATTTACATGTATTTTCCTTATTTTTAAGATTCAGTCATGCTATCGTCAGGAACTTGTCAAGTAAAAATTTTACGAAAAACTCTCGATCTTGGTCTATCTGTAACTTGTATGTTAAACGGGAGTGTACAACATTCAACTTTCATATGTCGGAATTCATCATTTTAGATCCTCGATCTAATCGTCCAGATGAACCACCATTAATTAGTGATGTCAAAAAAGGCAGTATAGCATATAGGTAATCTCATATTTGAGGGCTAATTCATTAATATGGGCTATATTTTCTGTACGAATGTCTAGATGCGGAATGATACAACCTGGTGATCGTTTATTATCAATTGATCATCATACATTACGTGGTAAAAGTTTAACAGAAATCATCCATTTATTAAAAAACTGTGATGAAATCGTGAGGCTGAAGATAAAAAAAGATGATGTATATTCAGGTAAAAGTAGTAGATTATCAAAGGTCAAATACATAGTTCAAATTATTTTCGTTTTCTCTAGAAGATAATCTCAATGAAAATGTTGTTGTCTATAAAGTACAATTGTTAAGACAAGGTGGGCCACTCGGTTTAACTATTTCAGGAAGTGAAGATGTGTTTGAGCCAATTATAGTATCAGGATTATGTGAAGGTGGTCTCGCTGACAAGTATGTACATGAAAATATTGAAAAATTCGTTTTTATTCTATTATGATGTTTATTATTATAGGACAAATGCTATTCATATTGGTGACCGTATATTGGCAATTAATGATGTAACACTAAGAGGAAAAGGTCTCAATGAAGCTATTAAACTATTGCAAGCAAGTGGCGATGAAATAACATTAAAAATATCGCGATCACTCGATTCACAAATACAGAGTAGGAAAATAATTGTATTTATTTGATGACAGTTATTAGAAATATTCTAATTAATTTAGAATTACGTAATTTTAATAATGAAGATTATACACCATCTGTTGACAGTGCAATGGAATCGTGGGATGGTTCAAATACCGAACATCGTCTAAGCGATAATAGTGATCATAAAGAAAATGACAGCAGTAACAATCAGAATCATATAAATGGCAATGATAGTATATTACCTCGAAGTATGACAACGAAATTTAATACCTGATAGATATCTTAACAATTTCTATTGTTCTAGGTGACTTTGTCTTGAAACATGGTCATCATTTAACTCTAGCCCGTCCATCGGGATATCGCACACCACCTACGAATGGTCGTCCATTGGAAACTATTCGTCATTCGGATAGTGGCGATAGTATTCATGTAGCTGAACGAGAATTATCTCGGGTACTCAATGATTTAGACGTATGTACCGTTATATCAAGACAAGCGAAATCTACAGATCATAATCAACGAACTTATAGTCATCGTTCTACAAACGGTAATAATAATCATCATTATTACAATAATAACGATAGAAAATATGATAATTGCGACGAGAATGATCATAATCTAGCCTATTATAATCAATTTAACAATAGTAATAGAAATCGACCTATGATAACAAATGGTGGTCAAAATACAAACGGTGACAATACAGATTTTGCTGTTAATACACTTTTACACTCGACAACACCAAATAATTTGCCAAACGAAGTTACAAATCGAAATATAAACAATAATAATAGTACTCATAATAACCCAAATAGTTATGTTTATCAACATATTCGATGCGATTTATTAACAGTTATTCTCAAACGTGATAAACGTATTTTAGATTTTGGATTTTCTATATCGGATAGACTCTATGGAACGGGAGTGTATATAAATAAAATTCGGGCAAATGGACCAGCTGAATTTGAAGGAACATTAAGACCGTGTATGAGAATATACAAGGTAAATCAAAATAAATAGCTCTGAAAAATCTTGATATCTCTATCTAAAAAACTATTTTGTTATCGCTTTATTCTATCCTAAACTATTGAATTTATTCTAGGTAAATTCAGTCGATGTAACTCGTATGGAATGTAATCAAGTTGTACCATTACTATCAAATTCTCACGATGAATTACAACTAATTGTTAGTCGTACACCAGCACCTATGTTCGATGAAACAGATGAATACGATCTATTATCATCTGATTTAGAAGAAGAAACACCCACCAAGACAGTAGCCACCATTTTACAAAATGAACATGAGAATGAAAATAGAAACAATAACAATAATAATGATGCACCATCACCAGATTCAACGTGGAAAAATAATTTTACCCTATTATCACAAGCAAAAACTAGTACAGTGTAATTTTTGTGCTATTTATCACTACGATGAGAGTTACTTGTTTTTTTAAAAGTTGCACGATAATTATGATTTCATTTTTTGGGGCTCATGTAGAAGTGAGATACTAATCGCTAACCGCAAAACTCTTTACACTCGTACTTGCACTAGAAGATCATTCATAACGATTGAAGATAAAATATGATCAGTTAATTTTATTTTTCGTTGTTTAAAATACATTTAAATCAGGGGATATTTCGTCAATTATGTAACAAAAACATAGAAAATGTGTACTTCTTTCAATGTTTTGAACAATTTCCCCATCATTATCTCTCGTAGATAGTATTTTTGTTTTGGAACCGACTTCATTCTTTCCCATTTTCTGCTTTTTAATTTATTTCTTTTGAAATTACGATAACAGTATAACGTACGTACACAATAAACACTCGATAAAACATAGACATTATTTTTGTTCTTTTTTTGTTGTTTTTTTTTAAGTAAAACTCAGTGTGCTTATTTTATCGTGTATAAATGATGATATTTTTTATTGTGCATTGTCTTCATTTTTACAATTTGTACACAGTGTGTTGCTAATTTTTCAATTTTTATATTTCACGTAAATGAATTCAGCTTTTTTTGCCTTGCTTTTTATAGAAATGTGTTCACTTTTTTAATGATGAAAAACGAAAACAAAATAATAATAGGATGAAAAAAATAATTAGAGATAAAAATGAATATGAGTATCCTTTACTCTGAATGAATGAATTTTGTCGAACAGCTTCTTAAATGTAAGTATTATGATATTTAAACAGGTGCCATTAAACAACATGTCGATTATATCATGGAAAATAACAATAGTAATTCTATTGCTAACAAAGAATAAATCTGTATTAAATAATGAAGCAGATAGATTGGATAAAAAAGTTGATGACAAAACGAACAACAGATTTTCTGATATTGTCGATAGGTAGCATCAAACTTATAGGGCATACTGATTTAGTTGTTCGTTTTAACTCATAAATCAGTAATTTTCATATTTCATCACCGGCAAACGTATGATATTTAAAGTAAAGAATCATATGGATATCAATTTTCTTTTCTTTCAATTCTTCTTTCATTCAAAATACAGAAAAACCTGGAACACTCCCAAAAGATATTCGGGTTTTATGGAAGATTCAAAAAATACAGTAAAACACTCTTTTTTGTAATGGTGACTGATCAATATTTCATCGCTCATTCCATGCTCTGAAAATTGTCCAAAAAGTCATGCACTATTTATTTTAGCCACGAAACCACGTGGCTGAGAGGAAGAAGAATACCTCGCCTTGCGGCTATACGTAGAGTACTGCCGAATGGTAGTTTCAGTAGGTCAATATCTGTTCGACAGCTAACGACCTCCTGCCATGGTCACCAACTCGTTACAAATCATCAGCCACAGCTCTGGACAGAAGATTAGACTAACACAAATTTCTTTCGTCCAATTTCCTGAGCTTCCATACACACTCACTAACTTTCCGAAAAGCGATGTGACCTAGCCAGAGGAACTGCGTTGTATGTCATAATGTAGTGAGTAGGCTGGTAATGAGAGATACTAAAACATCAGTAGCTTGCTACAAGGTTATTACATATTACATATATGATCTGCTGGCGCCGAGGTACGAACACAGTACGTGACGAACAGCATAACCACTAAATCGTGAATATAGCCACATGTACACCCGTTGAAGTCTACATTGCTCACAAAAAAGATTCAAATAATTAATGATTACCAATAACATTTCTTCACATAATATATGAAAGTAGAAATATAAAAGACGAACAATTGCTAGTTATCTAAGAGATCATTACGACGTCGCGTGTTTGGGGAGGGGAATACAGTAAAATAATTAAAAATAGTTCGCATTTATACAACAGAACAACCCGATGTAAGAAACCTTTAATATAAACAAACACTAAAGTGGTACCACCAGAAGTTGTAACCCATAATCAATATGAACCGAAAACGTATTTATCCTTTACGCTCGGTCTAATGACCTACAAATACCTCCTAGAGAATAAACAGATTACGTTTTCTTTTGTGAGTGCACAACTCATAAATGTTTTATGACTAAAGCTTCATCCGACATTTTTCTGATCGATCGAAACACATCATAACCAAATGAGATCTTCCGCCGAACATTCATAGATTCTGTGCTGCTAAAACGGTTACATGAGACACTTCAGCGTAGTCTGGATGATTTCGAATGAGTGTAGAAAAACGATACAGTTTCTCCAGGTTAAAATTAATTTTTGAGTTGCGCTCATTTGCTTGTTAGTTCAACTTCTCTTGGATTAAGAGCTTCTTTGAAAGTCTGCGATATATAGCTAACGTTCACGACTTTGACTCTTTCAATGTTCATATTCAATCTGAAGGGTGTTTCTTTGTTTCACAGATTTGCTGTCTATTGCTGTGCTCACTGAAAAATTTTATCATACGTTCAGATTCCATTTTTAGAAAAAAAAGTGCCTGAATGAGTTTTTTAAACAAAAATGGTCCTGAGTACGTGTCTACAGTTCAAATTCTATTCGACACATTTGATTTCTCAAGGAAACTTTATCATTCGAGCTTGAGAAACGCATGTATGCGGAATTTTTTAATAAAAAATAAACAATACAAAAACTACATATAAGCGCGTCCAAGTCTAATTTCATGCCGTATGATTTAATATTAATCGCACTTTTAATCAGTAGGTCCTTAGTTGTACGAAACTACGTTTGAAAAATAACCGCAACATATTTTATATCGCAAAAATATTGGTCATTTTATCGCATCTGTTCGAAACTGGAAGGTAAACACAATAGTTTTCAAAAAATATCACGTTAAACAAATAGTATATATACTGTCAATATTTTTTTTCTAAAATTCTTCAATGTAGGTCTGATCCAGATCCTTTCAATTACTAAAACAAAAATTAATTTAATCATTTGTGTTGCTCACATAAAGCGACGACAACCAAGACATTCTATCCAAAAAACAATATTTCAAGTGACAACAACAAATACAATGTTTAGAAATCTAAAAAGTCGGTATTAAAAAAACAAAATTTTATTTATCCTCTGTTATCAAATGATTGTAGATTCAATGAATAATTTTAATCCTTCACTATCCATGGACGAGTTTATTTTTTGTTTTATCTTCCAATTTTCCCATAATTCACAGACAATTTCACATGCCACAATTCTGGTTGTATTTTTTGATATTAGTCTCAATAGTAAAAGTCCATCATTTCGACAATATTCGTTCAAAAATATTTCCAGTTGTTGTGATGGTGGATAAAGTGAATGAACTTTTAAATACTGTTCAATAAATTGGATGCGTGATCGTGTTGAAAAATAATAACACCATTTAACAAGACCATAGATTGATATTATCGAAACAAATATTAACCAAAACCAGAGAAATAAGAAAATTTTTTCATTATATATATTAATGGGTAATAAACATTGAACAGCATAATTTTGAATATTATCACCTAACATACGAATTGTATATTTGCAAATTGTTATACGTGGAAAATATTCTAAAATGAAATAAAAATAATTTTAAATGTCCCATAAGAATAGATAATACCAACCTAATGTTATCATTTCTGTTCCTTGATACCATTGTTTTAAAGCATTTAGACCATATTTTGAATAGTTTTGTCCAATGAAAATATTTAACAAAAATAATTGACCAATACCATTAAGAATATATAATAATTTTACAATAAGATACACGCCTGTTAGATAATTTCCACTTCGAATACATGAAAAGAGTCCATTTTTTGATTGATAATGATAGGCTAATGCTTTGTCAATATGTTGAGTAAGTGTACGAATTTTTGGCTGATGTGAATCAGGATTTAAATGATCCAAATCTCGAATTAACTTTGTTAATGTTTTTGTATTAATACCACATGAACGATTGATCGATATCCACATAAAACTGGGAAAAGAAAATAAGAGCATCATGCCAAGTAAAATAAATGGAACCCATTGATAATAAATTCTAAAATATTTAAAAAGTAATTAATTGGATGAAAACTTTCACTCATTAGTATTTCCAACGTACATACATTTGATTTGGTTCTTTTTCGTATCGATTTGGCAGTGATTTATCAAACGGTAAATAATACGAATTACCAAATATCCAACATGCTTGATTTACATATGAAATTTGATGTTGAGCAACGTTTTGGGTATAACAATCAATTGGATCACCAATAAATTGTGATGTTGAAATAATTAAAAATGATATACCAATTACAACAAGAGAATATCGACGACTAATACGATCATAAAAGTCATCATTACGAATTGTTGGCGAACCTAATTTACTAAACGCTTCTGTTACTAAATATAATACCATCTAAAATTCGAAAATAATAGATTTAAGCGATCAAACATATTTTCTCGTACAATAAGAATAAGAATTTCGACTATGACAAGCAAAACAACCATCACTTTGTAATCCACAAACATTTTTAACTGTAGGACAGCACTGCAGCGAAAAAAATATAATAAAAAGAGTGACTCTACTCAGCCCATACTTATTTATTGTATTTTATCCGAAAAAAATCCAATGACTCGCGTTTTTGCATTCCTCATCAATCCATGGTGTTAATTTGCTAATTGAGAAGAAACTATAAACAGCATGCTACATTTTGTGAAACAATTCTTTGAACAATTACATCTCAGAATGATGCACATACTCTACGGTACTTCTTCATAGTAGACAAAATCTTCCTTTCACAAATGACTTTCACCGGATTTCACAGTCTGTGGCTATTTGATGGGTCCGATTTATGCTGTACCTTACAGCATTGGTCGTTATAGTGAAGAAAAAAGTTTAACCGGAAGAAATGGGAAAACAGAAGATAAACGAATAACATTCGACATATCAGTAACTTTCAACAATTCTCTATATTCATGTGTTTTCGTCGACATATCTCATGGCTTATTTATTCGTCATCTGTGCTTTTGGACTAAAAAATCTTGG